AAAATGCAATACTGAGATAAAGTTGTAAAAACAAAGAGTATTTGTACAGCTATCAACTCTTTGAACCAGACACAAAGGATACATTAGCTATTTTGTTATAGTTCCCAAAGCTGAATGCGGTCTTGTATTTGCAAACCCTATTGGCAATGCCAGAGACTGTCTGTTGGGTAAAATGAAAACTTGATACAGAAAATTGATGCATGAGTATGAAGCCTGAACCACAAATACAAACAAACAAACAAATAACCCTCCAAAACCACCAAAACAACAACAACAACAAAATCCACAAAAAAAAGAAAAAAAAGAGGAAAAAAAAATCCCAAGGAAACAAACTCCAGAAAAACTCCACCCTCCACAAACAAACAACCCCCTCTAAAGAATACTCAATGTGAAGCCTGTTAGAGCACATTAGTGCCTGTAGATGATGCAAGATCAGGTAAGCATTTATTTGTAGCCCTGAATTACCTCATGCAGGGGCTGGACTGCTCTCATCTGCTCAGCTTCCACAGAGCCCTGCAGCAAGGGACATCCTCAGAAATTACATCTTCAACAAAACCTGTGTCACAGATGAGTGACACATAAACCAAGAGCTCATTTGAGAAGTATCTCGTGTATTGTAAGCTCTAGAGAGGAGGAGGCCTATGCTTTTTTCTTTTCCTACGCGAAAGGAAAATCATCTGGAACCCTAAACCAGATAAACTTTGTAAGGGAACGTGTGAAATAAGGATCTGAATGAAACAGGGCTGCACAGCTAAGTGCAAGAATGCATGGAAGTGTGCCACTGGACATAACTGAGGTTACTTGTAGAGACATAATCTGTTAGCTTAATAACAGCAATATTAAAATAGCAACATGATGGAAGCATTTTGAGCAAGATGGTAGTACTGCAGTCAGGGTAACAACATGGTTAAGTGCACTGTGGTGGCTCACACGTGGAGGCTGATGCAAGCATGGAGATAAAGGTGGCAAATACGAAAGTCAACTGGCAAACACCTCAGAGCACTTCTTAGTTGCTCCCATATCCTGTTTGCTTCTGAACTGTAAGGCTGTTTATTGCTTACAGCTAACTTGTATTGCACAGTTGTGCTTTAAGTTCATTGATGGTACAATTAAGCTAAAAATGACCAGTGTTGTAGATGTGGATTTTGAACTACGGCATTCAATGGAAAGCCTCCTGAATGTGCACAGGAGACTGAACAGATCCCAAACCCACAGATCCCAAACCTTCCCAAGGCCCTTCTTAACAAGACGCTTTTGTTATTCTAGGGGAAGGTAGTGACTATACATGATACAGTTCTAGAAGTAATTAAAAATCAGCAAGTAAAAGATGGTTTACACAGCTAATTTTTACATTTCCCCCCCATCCTCATTCTTGATCAAATCAGTTTCAAGACTGAGGAGCATTCATATTAAATAGTCCATGGGCTGCCCGATTCCCTAGTCAGGACTCCCGCAGCCGAGCGCAGGTCGGTGTTGCCACCTGGTGGTATATGACAGAGGTACTGCCACTTGTAAATCGGATTTTCAAGGAAGACACAAATCACTACCAATATTTAAGACACATTTATTATTTAAGCTGTTGTTACCTACAGAAGTAAGTTTTTTAATGCTCACAGCAGTTTATTATCCATACAGTGCATTCACATGGCGGGATTACACCTACCTCACTGAGTTACTTGCTTTGTGTAACAGTTATGATTTGGCAGACTCTTGAGTTTATCTACTCCTGTGAATTCAACATAAAGCTTATCAGTTCTTGGGGAATTTTCACACATTATCTCTTCTTGTGAGGGCAAGAGGAGGGGCAGGCACTGATCTCTGTGGTGACCAGTGTCAGGACCTGAGGGAATGGCCTGATGTTGCACCAGGAGAGGTTTAGGTTGGATGTTAGAAAAAGGTTCTTCCCCCAGAGGGTGGTTGGGCACTGAACAGGCTCCCCAGGGCAGTGGGCACAGCATCAAGGCTGACAGAGTTCAAGAAGCATTTGATGATCTTCTCAGGCACATGATGTGACTCTTGGGGATGGTCCTGTGCAGGGTTAAGGATTGGACTTGATGATCCTTGTGGGTCCCTTCCAATTCAGCGTATTCTGTGGTTCTGTGCTCCTGTTATCCTGTGATTCCAGCACATATTGTTTCATTCTTCACCCTGATTTTTGGTAACATTTCTCGATCCACAGCTATATATTGGTACCTGTACAACCCATCCACAGCAACTCACACAAAGGGGGCTTGTATAACAACTTGGCCTACAAAGTAATTCCACGGAATACTAAGATTTATTTTAAAAAGTTACCCAAATCCAATATATCTGTGCTAGAGAAATTGAGACTGCTACAATTAAGCCCCTGTTTTGAAAAGGTTGAATAGCCACAATCCAAAATTTTAAAATCTTACGGAATTATCTGGATAGTATACGGAAATGCTACTGGATCTGTATCATACCAACTCTTTACAAATTTCAGCAGTGTTTGAAATATAAAAGTGGTAAACAGTTAGCCTAACTGTATGCAATTTCTCTTTCTAGATCTGACAATAAAACATAATTGTCATCATGCAATATGTTAAGTGGCATCTTTCTGAATTGGGCAGAGGAGGCTTGATAAATTGGTGTGTAGGAGACTATATATTCAGTTCTGATGATTGTATCTGGTAGACTAAAAAATAAGGAGCAATAAACCTGGGAAAACAAAGAGCTAATACCTAAATCTACAACTTTAATATGACAACTAGCTTCCTGCCTCTCAACACAAAAAAAAATTACGAATTGGACAAATTCAGTGGAATTTTTTAAATATTAGTACAAAAAATATATATAAAGTAGGCACAAAAAAGCACTTCACTACTTTTTTTTTTTTTTTTTAAACCCCAATAATTAGATTATCATATGATAATAAGAGATTTTTTTCAGTCAATGTCCTGTGGATCCACAGGAGTACACAGCCTAAGAGAAGCAGATAAGAACGTCTCTGCAAAGTGTCAAATGCAAATGTGAAGCACACAAGCAAAAAATAGCCAAAGGAGATCTTTCAAGAAAGCAGCAGCTTGGTTGTTTTGTACAGCATGCAATGTTCCTGTGAATTTCAAGGAAAAAACAAGCTGTAACAAACACTTGAGAGTGTTTGGCATAAACAGAAGCCACAAACATTTGAGAGTGGAGAAGGAAAGTTAGATGTTAAAAGTGGTTAGTGAGCTATTTTCCGTAAAGGTTAAGAGCAAACACGTCATAAACTGGAATTTTCCCACCTTAGAGACTTTCTGCATAGCTAATGGTAAACTTAATCTTCTAGACAGCTCTGCTTGGAAAAGCTATTTGGAGCACTCTTTCAAAACCAGTCACGTCACTCTTCTCGATTGCACTATGAAAAATGTACTTCTCAAAGCTTTTAAAAATAAATCACGTGGAAGGGCTACTGCAGACGCCGTGGGCCTTGCTTTGTTGTGAACTGTACAGCAGATACAGAAGACAAGAGGGGGCCGAATAATTTGGAACAGCCCTGTTACTGCTGCGCAGCTGTTTCTCAACACAAAAAAGGGGAGTTTAGAACTTAAATCTTCTGTGCTGGGCCATAATGTAGATAATGAATTTCCAAGTAATCAGGCAGTCATGGAAACACTTAAGATGTATGTTACTGGCACCTCACTGGAGTCAATGTATAGATGGCAAAGAGGTCTCAGAGGTTTTTCTAAATGCAATGTGTGAGTGCTGCAATAGCCCATTTGCTCAGCTTAGTTGTTGAGTTATGCAAAAAGATCTTGATAACAGGTACTGAGCTTTTTACTGGACCGAAGAAGCTTTTATTGCTCATTCTGCCTACTGGGCTAAGGTTTCATTGCTGTCTCTGTACAAAATGCTCACGATAATGCCTTTGTAAGTAATCACCGGGTAAAATGGCTGATTTGGAGCACTCAGCTTTTAAAGTCTGACATCTCAGAGATTGTTTTGGGATCCTTTAGAAGTATGACCAAGGTTACAGCTCAGCAGCTGAGAATCTGAACGTCTTGCACTGACAGTCAGAAATATGTGCATTGCCGGTAACTAAATCGAATGGCTTTATTAGTGTAATTTTCAACAGAAATACGCAAACGCTGCTGAATTGAAAAAGGCTCAAGAAAAAAAACCCATATGGTTTTTCCTGTAAGCTATTCTTGTTCGGGGAGCTCCACTGGTGCCTCTGCAGATGCTAAGAGATGTCTTTCTCTCTAGTACAGCCTGGGGCATTTAGGAAAACACACTTGCCATTTGCAACAGGTTTTGGAACCACTGGGCTGAGTGAAAAGCAGTGTGGACAGCAGGTGGAGGGAGGGGATTCTGCCCCTCTGCTCTGCTCTGGTGAGACCCCACCATCCAGCCCTGGAGTCCCCAGCAGGATGACGTGCGAACATTGGAGTGAGCCAAGTTGAGGCCACGAAAATGCTGCAAAGGCTGAAAAATCTGAGAGCTGGGACTGTCCAGCCTGGAGAGCAGCAGCAGCCTCCAGGGAGACCTCCAGGAGACACATAAAATAGATGGACAGGACCTTCTGCACGGGTAGATAGTTAATAGGACAAGGGGGAACGGTTTTAAACTAAAAGAGGAGACTTAGATGGGATATTTAGGAAGAAATTCTTTAATGTGGGTGTGGTGAGACACTGGAACAGGTTGCCCATGGAAGCTGTGGATGCCCCGTCTCTGTAAGGGTTCCAGGCCAGGCTGGACCGGGCTTGGAGCAACCTGGTCTATTGGAAGGTGTCCCTGCCCATGGCAGGGAGTTGGAACGAGGTGATCTTTAAGGTCCTTTCCAACGCAACCTCCTTTCTGTGAGCTGCGGCGTGGCTGGAGAGGACGGGAGGCAGCGAAGCGCCCGCGGCCGCCCGTTGAGCATCGCCCGTTGTGCGGGACCCGCTCGGGATCCGCTCCGGAGCCCCCGCCAGACCCTCCCGGGGCCGCCCCCGCTCCGCTCCGCTCCGCTCCGCTCCCCTCACACGGCCCGGCCCCGCCAGTATCGCGAGAGCCGCGCGGGCCGGGGGAGGGGAGGGGCGGTGGGGCCGCCCCCGCCCCGGGACCGCCGAGCGAGACATGGACACGGACCCGAGCCCCGGCCCCGGCCCCGCCGAGGAGCCCCGCGCCTCCACATCCACCGCCCCCGCCGCCGCGCACGACCCCGGCGCCGAGGAGGTACCGCGCCGGGGGGAAGGGGCCTGTGGGTGGTGGGAGCTTTGCCGGGCCCCGCCGCCCCCTCCTGCGGCCGCTGCTCGGGCCGCGCCGCCCCGGCCCTGAGGCCGCCCGGGCCCCTCCGCGCCCGCTGTGAGGGCTCTGCGGGCCGGCCCCGCCCGGACACACCCCCGGCCCGGCGCCGCTCCCTCCGCATCCTCCCTGTCCGTCCGTGTGGGCCCGCGGTGCCCCCGGCCCGGCCCTGCGGCCCGGACACGCCGGGGCCGGGTCCGCTCAGCCCCTGCTCCCCTGCGGACCTCCCGCGCCCCGAGGGCTCCTGCAGGGCCCGTCCTTCGGAGCCTCGCTATTTGCCTTCCCCCGTCCCCAGGGAAAGCTGCGACACTTTCCGTGGAAGAACTGGGAGCTCCGAGGGCCGACGGGGGGAGCGTGGGGCCGGGCCGGGGGTTGGAGGCTGGCCCGCTCTGCCCCAGCCCGCACGGCCCGGGCTGTTCCCCTGCCCTGGCGCTGAGCACACTCCTCAGACGGGCTCGTAGGGCTGCCAGCTGGCTCTCGTTAGGTTTTTGGAAGAAAGAAGGCTAAGGCACGAGGAATGTAAGAAAGTGACGTATTGAGGTATCCTTGGAAACTGAGCAGGGTTCAACCTGAAGAGCGAATCTTATAAAAACTTAGTGAGAATGAGGACCGTGTCTCGAGCATTTGTGGTATTGGAGAAGATTGCAGAACTACTGATAACAGTCCAATCAGAATTTTTAGCCCAGTTACTGAAAGTCTGTTTTTGTCTGTAAGGAATGCTTGAGGCTTTAATTCATTACTTATGTATACAAACAGCTGTGAGACACAGTGGAGTGTAATCCTGAGCATTGCCTGGTTGTTCACAGGAAAAGGTTTAAGGGCTATTTCTCTATTAGATACAACTTATTCTGCAAAATTTTATGCATGCCAACCGTTGAAGAGTCAGTACTAAATGTTTAGAGAATGCCTGCATGGAAAAATCATTTGAAAGCATTGAATAGTTTCATATATTATCAACGTTTGCCACTGTGCCATGCTGGACAGCGTCACAGAATTATAGAATATCCTGAGTTGCAAGGGTCCCACGAGGAACATTGAAGCCCAGCTCCTGGCCCTGCACAGCACAGCCCCAGGAATCCCACTCTCAGGGAGAGTGTTGTCCAAACACTTCTTGAACTCTGTCAGGCTTGACTGCTTGTTCACAGCTGTGACTGTTTCTCTGGGGACCCTCTTCCAGTACTGAACCACCCTCTGGGTGAAGAACCTTTCCCTATATTCAACCTAAACCTCCCCTGAAACAACTTCATGCCTTGCTCCTCCAACATCCCCACCCTTCAGTGTCCTCCAGGCTGAACAAGCCAAGTGACCTCAGCTGCTCCTTGTGTGGCTTCCCCTCCAGGCCCTTCACAATCTTCTTTATGCCTTTTGAGTTGTTATTCCCAGTCATTTTTTGAGGTTTTGTGGGGCCTTCTCAATTTAGGACTGTTGCACTTACTGGGTAGAAATTTCCCAGCCTAAACTTAGTAGCACTACTTAGGATAGTTATCAGAGATTTTACTGGGAGTGTTTTGTATCCTCGGTATACTCGGGATCTGATATTTTTGAAACTGCTGCGTCGTTGTGTTTCTTTGTAAGATGTTTAAATGATACCAGTTTTCAGGGGGCTTAATGGAAACTTTCTAAAGTTGAGGCAAATTGTTAACAGCGAGTTTCCTGAGTTAAAAATGAAAGTACGTTTTTTGCTGCTTAATTGCACTGAGACTTGTCCTGTTTCCTGACAAGTCAGGCCTCTAAGTGATGAAGACACACTGTGTAAAGTTTCTAGGGAAAAACTCTCACAGACCTGATGAAATGTGTTGTGGTTCTGTGTTGTAGGAGGTACATGGTCCAGTTTTTAGTGAGAAGTATTCTTGTATCAAAATGTAATCGTCAGGATGTAGATTTCTGTAACTCAGAACATTATGCAGAAGCAGGTTTGTATATGATGCTTGTCTCTTACCACCTGCCTGGCTCCACCAGCACAAAGCAGTGTTTTAGTGAAACTGCAGCATATTGTCTTCCCTTGTAAGTTATAAGGAGGAAAAGGGAAACATGTGCCTTGTTTGTCTCTTTCATCAGCTTTTAATAATCTCCTGTTTGTTATTTCTGATACATTGGGGGCCATTAATGTTCAACAGAAACACTCCAGTGAGAAGCAGGGGTGGGAAAGCAGGAAAACTGTCTTTTATCTTGAAAGGTGATGTATAGGAAGTGATTTTATAGTGCTGTGGCTGCAGTAACTTTACGTGTCAGCTTGTTTGCTACTTTAACTCCGAGTGTGTTATTCACAAATATTTATTGCAGAATAAATTTGATTTGGATGCTGCCAAAAGTTTTATTCTTCTGGGGAAGTCTGAGTAACAACAGAACTGGCACTGGAGCCATCTGCCTTGGGGCTTAGAAAGATAATATTGCATTGCAGTTTACTTGGAAAACTTCCAGTTAAAAGGGATACTCATAATACTGAGTTGTTCTGCTTGAAGGACTGTATATTTATCAGTAGCAGTTCTGAAAGTAAAGTGTAATGTTGCTCAAAAGGCTTTTAAATATTTGATACCATTTTGGACTGGTTTTGCTACTTGACTCTGAATAGTTTAGATTAATTATTATTTTTATTTAATGTATTTGTAGGAGGCTGATACTTAAAGCACTTAACGCAGATTAAGACTCTGCAGTGTTACATTTTATACAAACATGAACTTTGGCAGTTCCTTTCAGTTTATTCAGGCCATTTCAAAAACATTTTTTATAATTTAATGCATCTCAAAATATATTTACTTTTTTATTGGCAGGAGGTGTGTAAAAAGGCACACTTCAAAGACAGATTAGGAAAAAACCCAACAAAGGTGCAAGTGTCAGAAACTTATCGTTAGGAATCTGACATTAAGAAATCACATTTAATGTTTTAAAATATCTTTTCAATATATTAATGATGCATTTATAGCAAGATCTCTGTGAAAAATTAAACTTGGTTATTTTCCAGTAATTTCTTTCAATGCTTTCAACATGGATCCTACTTGTAGAGATAAACACAAGGATGAGACAGATCTCCAGCTTTCTTTTTTCTGATCATTTCTTCTCTTTAGTTTCATCATGGATATCATGTTCTGCTTTGGGTGAAATAATTATTGCATAACAATAGCATACTTACCATGTAGTTTATAGATATGATCAGTTGGATATCTCTTTTTGCTAAAAAACTGTATAGAAAGCTGACATTTATAAAATGTTTAACTTTTGAATTCCAGAAAAATGATCCCCCTTTTCAACTCAAACTTCCTCCAAAAGCAGCTAGACCTGAAAAAGAAGTTGACCCAGAATATGAAGAGAAGATGGTGAGTGTTTTCATGGTAAAACATACTGCAGCTTTTAATGGCACTTGGCTGTCGGAACTGGATCAGCACAGCTGCATGAGGTTATTACAGCCTGGATGGGTCAGAAAAAAACCCAACCAGATGAAGATTCATCTAAATGTTAGTCCAGTGTGGTGTTTCTCACAGTGACTAACAGTAGGTATTTAGAGAGCAGAAGAAGCAGGTAGTGACAGTCCTGTTAAACACTGTCCCACTCTTCCAAGTGTTTTTGTCTGCACGATTTCTGGAGTTGGAGGCTGTGGCTTTTATACTCAGCAGTTGTCAGTTGATTTTTGGTTTTGTGGTTTCTTTTTGAGTTATCCACTCCCTTCTGTGGTAAGGAGTTACTATTCAGTGACATTTTATATTTAGAACTCCCCCTTTTGTTTTGAATCTGTCTCTGCTGGCTTTATCTGATGACCCCTTGAGTCATGTCATAGGCATCCCCAAGCTGCTTCTTAGCTGAGAGAAATACTGAAGCTTCCAGTTTCTCATTATATAAAAGCATAAAGGTTTTAAATCTTGATATCCTGTAATAAATGTGCCGTAACAATGCAAAAGATACCTGTCCGTGATACCAGTGAAGGGAGCTTGTAGTGCTGGAGAGGAGATGTAACAGAGTAACTTCTGTGTTACAAAGAGGCAGAAATCAGGAGGACATTGCAAGACTTGCTCTTGAATGACACATGCAGTAAGTTCTTGGTTTAAAGCGCTAATACCTGTATCTTGTTGCATTTTTCTTAAAAGCTTTAATGTTAAATGGATGCCTAATAATTACAGTAGAGTCTGAAAGGATTGAACTCCATGGAAGTCAGGGAAGAGTATCCCTCTTAAACATACTTGTATGAATACTTAATTTTTAACCAAAGAGAAGACACGCAAGTAAATCTGTTTATTGGGAATGAGTTGAGTAAATAGCTAAACTTGTTTTCACAGTATTTCATGGTGAATTTACAGCTTTCCTAAATTAGCTTGTTAGTTCAGTTGCTCTTGGAGGCAAAGGGAGTAGATATCAAAAAAAAAAAAAAAATCTACCTCTAATCAGGGAAGAAATAGTAATTTTTCCCCAGGAGATCCTTGCAAAGGTGTTTCTGCGCTGTTACACGAACGCAGCGCCCTCGTGTGGCCAGATCGTGCATTGCGCGTCAGGCTCATTTTGCTGCCCTGTTCCTCGGGTGGTGTTGCTGCTGTGGGAGCACTTCCACTTCATGTCCGTTACCAGCACAGAGGCTCTCCGTGGTTTGAGTACTTCCCGGAAATGTTGTGATGCAGAACTGCTACTTCACTCTTGTGGTTTTTGTTATCATATGTAAATGACATCACATGAAAATTGCTTCGAGTGGTACAGTGTTACATGAAGCTTAGAAATGTCATTGAGAGGCTGATAAGGGTTCCATTCTGTCAGCATTTGCATTTTATTGTATTTTTCTTAAAAAATATGTAACATGTTGTCCTCTAAATATAGAGAAGGACATATGTTTTCCTGTGTGACACAGTGAAGTGTATATGCCCCACTGAGATGGTAAAATGGAAATGCTTGAAATTTGAAATTTGACTGCAAAATTCACAACCTTGAGTGAAAGCAGTATTTTTTTTTTTATCCTCTTCCCCACTTTGCAAACTAGAAAGCAGATCGAGCAAAAAGGTTTGAATTCCTCCTGAAGCAGACAGAACTTTTTGCACATTTTATTCAACCTGCAGCACAAAAATCACCAACATCTCCATTGAAAGTCAAGCTGGGACGGCCACGGATGAAGAAAGATGAAAAACAGAGTTTGATTTCAGCTGGGGAGTAGGTTTTATTTTTCTTTCTGACTTCTTACACTTTCAAGTAACTTATGCTTTTTAACATATCTGTTTAGTTTGCATAAAGATTATTGTACTTTCAGTAAATCCTAAACTTTTCCTGTTAATGGTATATCAGTTTCTTTAAAAATTGTTTGGTGTGTGCATGCTGATCCATCAATGTTAGTATGATCAGAAATGCCATTCTAAAGCAAATTGACTGATTCTTGCCACTTACAATGCTTTGGTCTGTATTGTGGGGTGATACTGGAGCACGTGAATTGACTTTCTTTTGCATGATGCTGAACTAGGAGGTGAACTCAGAAGTGCTCCAAATGTGCTCCAGCTGCTGGTGAACAAGTCAGTGGGACCAGACTGGAGCTAGACCAGGATAAAACAAGACAGCGTGCATGGAGTGGGGATGTTGGGTCCTCAGCACAAATTGTCTTGCTGTGCCAGTCTGTGTTAAGGGTTGCAGGCAGAGCCTGCATGCAGTCCCTCTGAGGGTTTTTGGGAATAACAAACAATTAGTTTTTGGAATGTTTGCAAGATGACATTCTAGTTTATAAATTTTATTTTTTTTTTTTTTAAATTTGAATATGTGATTCTTCTGAACGTTACAGTTATCAAGTAACTGAGTCTAATACCACCACTGATGTGTCTTTTATTTCTGTGTTGCTCATTAAAAAATGCCTTAGAGAACTCACAATACTTGTTGCCAGATTTTACGGCTCTGGAAGAGAGGGCTTTATATCAACCTTTCTAACTAAAGCTGGAATGACCCCTAAGGAATAACTTATTAACAGAACACTAGAACATGCACATCGTAGATCAGTGATTGCTTTTGCTGTAATTTGTGGTTTGAGTTTGCAATCAGTGTATTGAAATTTATTCAGTGTAAACATAACTCTGGGGCTCTTCCTTCAGGTACCGTCACAGGCGCACGGAGCAGGAGGAGGATGAAGAGCTGCTGTCCGAGAGTCGGAAAACGTCTAATGTGTGCATTCGCTTCGAGGAGTCCCCCTCCTGTAAGTGTTGTATCAACAATTCTCCAACTGCTTTCATGTAATTAAGATCTGAGCAGAACACAATTAAAATGTTCTGCTTAGAATTGGTACTTTTGTACTTAGAGGAATCTTACATTTACAGATGTGAAAGGAGGAACTCTAAGAGATTACCAGGTCAGAGGTTTGAACTGGATGATCTCATTGTATGAAAATGGTGTTAATGGCATTCTGGCAGATGAAATGGTAAGCAGTCATCTTTTGGAATTTTTGTGGTAATTTTTGAGCAAAATATAACAATAAAGTGCTTATAGTGTTTAATGTATGTGCAGTAGCATGCATCATTCTACAACAGTTTGATTTTTTCAAATCTGAAATTGTAATGCAATGAAAGGAATTTTATTGCAAACATTTGCTGTCCAGCTTGCTTTGAACAACTTAAATGACAGAATTATATAGTAGGAAAACTGTTAGAAATTATTTCTGTATGGTATTTCACTTCAGCAGGTTTCTTTCCCCCCCCTCTTTGCCAATGCAGGGTCTTGGTAAGACTCTGCAAACAATAGCATTACTAGGCTATCTGAAGCATTACCGAAACATTCCTGGGCCACACATGGTCCTGGTCCCAAAATCAACTTTGCACAACTGGATGAATGAGTTCAAGCGCTGGGTTCCATCCTTACGTGCTGTTTGCCTCATCGGGGATAAAGATGCCAGGGTAAGTGCCCTGCACTTCAAAAGTGTTTGCATTATTTTGTGAAAATATCATTTGGGTATGTGGAATTCTTTCATTGAGAAGGCCTTAAAATAGATATGGGGTGTTTTTCTGACTTGGAGGGGATCAGCAAGCTGGATGTTTTTGTGAATTCTGTGGCTACTGATATGGATTGCCTGACTGCCTGTCACTATTTGTGCTAGTTTAGTGCATCAGTAATATGGGTGGAGACAGTTTTCACTGAATGTCATATAAATTGTTCATATTTATCAGTGTTTATTAATCCAGCTCTTCTGCTTTAGGCTGCATTTATCCGTGATGTTATGATGCCTGGGGAATGGGATGTTTGTGTTACGTCATATGAAATGGTAATTAAAGAGAAATCAGTCTTCAAAAAATTTAACTGGAGGTACCTGGTAATTGATGAAGCCCACAGAATAAAGAATGAGAAGTCTAAGGTAAACTCAAAATTGTTTGATACCTTGAAAGTAGTTCAATACAAAAAGATTCCATCTGATTTGAGCAGATTTTAAGTGTTAGGTGTGGTGTTTTTTAAAATAAAAACCGTAAGCTATTGCATGGTAAATATGAATTTCGTGGGTAGCTCCCTGTCCCTAAATTTAATTGACATTGTTTTAGGTGTCAGAAACTGATGAAGATCCACTGTGCTGATCTGTGCACGGTGATGATAACTATTTGTTGTATTTGTAGCTGTCAGAGATTGTACGTGAGTTCAAGACAACAAATCGATTGCTGCTTACGGGAACTCCTTTACAGAACAACCTCCACGAGCTGTGGGCATTACTCAATTTTCTGTTACCTGATGTCTTCAATTCTGCAGACGTAAGTTGATGTTTGGAAGTACAATGTTGGTCTTGTTATTTTGATTCCCAGGCTGCTGTCTGTAGAAGAAGAAGAATGACCAGCCTAGTAAGAGACATATGTTGCGGAAAACCTGGATTCAGGAGAAGTCTGTGGCTTAGCAAACTGTAAACTACTCTTGCTCTGCCTAGTTAAAAGAGTGCATTCTGTTAGTGTTGATAAGGTCTCAGAATAGTAATGGCAAATGTAATATTTTGTTCAATACTCATACAAAATTTGGGAAGGCAATGAAGAATTAAGAACGTGAAGCATTCAAATACGCATAAGCCTTTTTTTTGTGTAGAATTTGAGTAATCTTTCTCCTCCTTTACTCTTAAAATTGCCTTGTACTTGTATTACTTGCTTCCATTAGTTTTACTGTGTTGTCCTTCTCATTACTTAAAGACTCTGGATTCTTTTTCTTTTTTTTAACTTCTTGCCCCATCGTTACACAAGCACTGAGGGGAAGGACTTGGATGCTGCAGTGATGAGCTAGGAAAACCATTGTAAATGAAGCAGAGTTATGCATTTGACTTGAACGTTATAACATGCTGGGGAACAGACATAGCATTGCAGACTGATTTTTCTTTCACTCGCAGAAGTCATTTGTCTCAAGATTTATGCAACTCTCAGCTGGAATGAAAGAGAGTCAATATGTGTCTGTTACAAGTACAGATGATAAATTGTTCATACTGATTGTGCTGTTTCTCACCACAGGATTTTGACTCATGGTTCGACACTAAAAATTGTCTCGGTGATCAGAAACTTGTGGAAAGACTTCATGCTGTAAGTAATTAAAGCTGTAATCACGTGTCATCATTAGCATGCACAGTGTGAAAAAGAAAACCAGATTATTTTCCCCTTCATCTCAGAGTTGCAAAGATGAACGTGAGGTATTTAGTTACAGAACTGCCTGGCAGAATTTTCATGAATTAAATATTGGAACTTACTATTATAGATACTGCTTTTTGTACCATTACTGTTTGAAGCAGACAAAGTCTGAACATTAAATGTGAAAATGAAGACTTTTGAGATCTTTTTGAAACCACTTATTATTGTGACTAGTATCTGATGCACATGTCGTGCTAGTCTGAATAAAGCCATGCTTTTACCTTGTTTTACTGTGCATGAGGTAAAAGACAGTTTTCATCTTACAGTAACAAAACAAATCAGAGAAACTACAACATACACTGCTTATATTTGAAATGTTGGTGTGTTTTGTATATGCTGCTAGTTGAAATGAAACAGAGCTTATGTTGAAAAGGAATAGATTTTATAAGCTTATGGGTTTGGCCCTGCTTAGGATGACAACTGGGAAGAATATGGGAATCCTTGCCTAGGATTGCATATTTATGTGTGAACTTAGTCATTACTGGACAACTCTGTTTTGCAGACTTTAGCAGAATTTTTCTGAAGGAGTCACCATGTCAGCAATAGATATTGGTTAGTTCTGAATATGTACCAGATAATTGAATCTGTTCATTTTGTATTTGAGGCAATCAATTTTATACATTTGTCTGTATAAAACCCCTTAATTTGCGTAGGTTTTGAAGCCATTTCTGTTGCGTCGTATAAAAGGTGAAGTTGAAAAGAGTTTGCCTCCAAAGAAGGAAGTAAAAATTTATCTTGGGCTCAGCAAAATGCAGAGAGAATGGTGAGTTATTTACGTCAAAGTAAGAATCTTTTGTGATACACACATTGATATTTTTTTTCTTCTTATAATTGCATGTTGAGTAACTTTTATTTAGGGCTTCTTAAAAAAAATACACAAGTTAAAAAGAACTCATGAAGGGCAATGAAAAGAGCTGAGAGGACGAAAGCAGAAACTGTTTTCCTGCCTTAAGTTTGTTTGAGAGAACATGTGCCTCCTAAGCTTCCTCCTTTGACCCAAGTATGTATGCACCCGTAAAAGTCTCACCTGAAATTAAAATAAAAATTTGAGGAGCTACATACCCAGAAAAAATGTGAGGAAAAGGAGCCAAATCAGTGTAGCAGCTTCTGTCAAATACATGATGTGTTTAATCCACTCTGTGCTACTGAAGTGAAAGATAACCTAGTAAATGACAGATCCTTGTCACTTGCAAACAGATTGCCTTTCATGTTCAGGTATGGATTTTAAATTCTTATTGGTCAGATGTTTTTTACCGAGTTTCATAATAATATAGCTCATTGTTATATAAACAAAGCAAACTCCTGCATCCAGAAATAAGTAATTGAGATATTGTAGGGTTTCATGCGTGTTTTGAATATCAAATAAAAACCTGAGAGTTTTTCAAAGTTGCCTTTAAAACTTCAGGTATACAAGGATCCTGATGAAAGACATTGATATCCTGAACTCAGCTGGGAAAATGGATAAGATGCGTCTGCTGAATATTCTGATGCAGCTGCGGAAGTGCTGCAACCATCCCTACCTGTTTGACGGTGCTGAGCCCGGCCCTCCTTACACCACCGACACACATCTCATCACCAACAGTGGGAAAATGTTGGTGCTGGATAAACTGCTGGCAAAGCTCAGAGAGCAAGGTGAGGACTGGTTATGGACAGCAGTGATCTGAATACTCACTGTAAGTAAAACTACCTTTCACAAATAGCATAGGTTCATTCTTGTCTTTCCTCCACTGAGAAGGCATTCACTACTTTGTAAGGTTTTGTTGAAAATTAATTTTCTGTAGATCTTAGCACATGGACGGAAAGAAGTCTTACAGGAATGTTGAGTAAGACCAAAAGTTTGGAGAAGCAGAAAGAAAGGAGAAGAGAAGCTCTACTCTTCCTTTCTTGAAGAAAATTCCCAATGAGATGACTAGTTTGTCTGTGCACATCAGTTGTTACCTAATTATCTTCTGATGGTTTGAAGTGTTCTGTTTCTTTGGTTGTGTATTTCTCCTGTATAATTTATCAAATAGCCTGTCTTGAGTAGTTAAATCAATACCAGAAAAGTAACTTCAGAGGAGAGACGTGAGTTAGACAGAGTACAGAATATTTCACATAAATTCTCAGTCAAGCTCTGTGGTAGCTCTGTGATAAGATTAATGTGAAAACATAAAACTAACAACAAAACCTCCTGTATTCTGTCAGGTTCAAGAGTGCTCCTTTTCAGTCAGATGACTCGCTTACTGGATATTTTGGAAGACTATTGCATGTGGCGTGGGTATGAGTACTGCAGGCTTGATGGACAGACACCACATGAGGAAAGAGAAGTATGTAAACAAGAAATTACTTTGGTTTTATGTATTAGATTATTAAGAAGTTGTTATTTGCATATTTATATGTAGATACATGATTTTTAAGGTAAAGCAAAAGTTCTACAGTTTTTAAAAGGCTGCCAAGGGTATACTTTTTCCTAACCAAAGTCCACAGTAAAGCACTGTTCACTTGTTCCTCAGATAAATGAAAAATATAACATATTGTGGACCTAATACGGGTTTTTCCACCTGTGTAAATTTCCAGTTTCTTATGGGGATACATTTTTTTTAATACGACAATTGAGTACATTTAAAAGAAATTTCATTGAAAAGCCACCAGCAGATTGGAAACTTGTTTGAAAGATCTGATACTTAATTGACATTGCGTTTTTTGCTTTTAGGAAGCAATAGACACATTTAATGCTCCCAACAGCAGTAAATTCATTTTCATGCTGAGTACCAGAGCTGGAGGTCTTGGAATTAATTTGGCAACTGCTGATGTGGTTATTCTGTATGATTCAGATTGGAACCCTCAAGTAGATCTGCAAGCCATGGTGAGTTAACTCCCTAATACACGTTCGTTTGTTGAGGTTGACAATGCTCTATTTTGTACAACTCTTTTCAAAACTCACATTTTTGGTATTTTTCTTTACTTTTTGCATACACAAGACAATACCAAGAAACTGAGGAATTGAATGAAAAGGCACGAATAGAATTTGTGGAAGTAACTGTATATTTTCATCTTAATTATTTTCTTAATGACAAATTACTTCTATTGAAATACTGTATCAGTATTGTTTATGGAATCATTCGTAATATCTGTCTTTCCAGAAAAGAAAAGTAAGTGAATAACAGAGGGCTGCTTCCAAAATAAATAATTAAAAGCATGCAGCCTTATATTTCTCTATTTGGGAAATTTGTGCTTTTGCAACCCACCTTGTTTCTGTGTAAGCATAAAATCCTGTGGTGATGTCAGGGGGAAAAAAAGTTATCTTTATACTAAAATCTTCTCTTCCTGAGTGCTGAATGTAAAAAAAAGAGTCTGTAATTTGTTTCATGTGGAATAAAAATGACAGGGCCCCTCCTGCATGATTGGGAGGGTGGATATTTGTTCAATAGTTTGTAATACTTAATTTTTTTTTAGTGCACCTAAACTCATCAAATATTTCACGTGAATAGGTCATCCTTTTGATATGCATGCTGACTGCCTTTAGTAGACCAACTTCCTGGAAACTGATGAGTGTGATTTGTGAACTTCAGTAGGGTTTTCAGGAAGAAATGAGTATTACACAGGAGAGCAAAAGACTTAACAGATCATTTTTAAAGGACAGTCAGAAAATCCTGGTACCCACAGCTTGAAGGATAGTTGTTTTAAGTTGACAAAATATTTTTATTCATGTTTTCCAGAGAGGATAAGCACAAGTTTTGTTACAAACACAAGGATAGCGTGTCAGTCATAAACCTCATACTCTGTGTGTTGTACCTGTGCTGTGTCAGCTGCATATTGATGAGTTAACGCAGCTGGCTTGGGACAAGTACAGTATTGAAGCTGTGGCTGCAGGAACTTTGCCCAAGGAATCAATATGCTCAAGCCAGGGATGCCAGAGTTTCATTACCTGTGTCAAGTGAGAGAATTGGTTTGAAAGCAGTGCAAATGTGTGTGTGTACTGTTGTATCCCCACTTCCCAGCTGCAGTCCAGACAGACGTTGAGATATCTCCATTTACAGCGAGGGAGATGCGTTTAGTGCTCCAGAATGACTCAAACACTGTAACAGCCAGGTATAAGTAAATATTACTGCACTGGTTTTACATCTTTGTATGCTCTTGAATAGGCGAGGAAGCAAGAAGTACGTGCTAGTGTGAGTCTGCTGTTTCTGCAAGCTGACTGTCTATTGCTTGTGAGTTCTTGTTGCTCAACACTCACTGATTTATGTTTGTTAGGACCGTGCGCATCGTATTGGTCAAAAGAAACCAGTACGGGTGTTCCGACTTATCACTGATAATACTGTTGAAGAGAGGATTGTAGAAAGAGCTGAAATAAAACTGAGGCTGGACTCTATAGTTATACAACAAGGTATCAACTGCTATATATGTTTGTCTGCAACTGAATTGTTCAGTCCCTTAAAGTATGGTTAAATGACTGTACAGATGTACAGTGTTAAAGAAAGCAGGCCTTGTGTATAATAGCAGTGTACTAAATCAACCCAAGAAACCCTAATGTGTAAGTTATTCACTTGTTCAGCTGAATTATTTAAATTATTTTTCCTGATTAATGTGGACATAGATTTATATTAAGAGTCTAAATGAGTAAACTACAGCTGAATAGATGTTACTTGGTTTTGTGATATGTTAAAAAGGAGGGAAAAAAAAAATATGTTCCATGGCAGATAAAATAATTAAATACATATGCCTCTTACCACAAAAGAATTGACTGAATATTAAAACTGCTTTGTCTATCTTTGTTTAGAAGCTCTTGGAAGAATAGTTTGTCAAAAACTAAGGTGCTCAAGCTAAGTTTTGAAGGTTGTTTTTTCTTGAGGGTGGGCTACTGAAAAGATAATGGTCAAAATATTGGTAGCATGTTGAAGAGATGAGATAGGATAAGTGAAATTTTGGGACAGCAGTTCAAATTTTGGGAAAAGTATTCAGAAATTTGGGTTGAAATTGATGAAGTGGATGTTAAAAATGTCAGGTACTTAATAATGGTTAATACAGAATACTTGGTCATTTTTCATCTTGAAAAAAGATTGTGATCTTAAAAGTTCAGCTTTGTAAGAATAAGATCTTGAATGTAAAATTTGGGTTATCTGAATGTGAAACATTTTTGTTATGGCTTGATTTAAAGTTGTAATTTTGTTATTTTCCCTGAAGTTCTTGATTTTCATTTATTCTCATCTCCAGTGAAATGTAATTTTTCTGTATGGTTGTTCTGTTTTTTCCTTTCTCGTTCTGTCAGTGAACTAAAAAAAATCCACTGTTTGCATGGTCCTACTAGAACTCCTGTAATTATAACTTCCAACACGTTTCTTCTAATTTTAGGGAGGCTCATAGACCAACAGTCCAACAAACTGGCAAAAGATGAAATGCTGCAGATGATCCGCCACGGAGCCACTCATGTTTTTGCTTCCAAAGATAGTGAGCTGACAGAAGAAGATATAACCACTATTTTAGAAAGAGGTGAAAAGAAGGTCAGAGAACAGTTTTGTGTGGAATTCAAAATGTGTCAAACATGACATACTTATGCACAAAATTGAGATGGGATCCGGTGATGTAAATCAATTTTTATGCCAAATTATTACTTTGCTATTTGTAGGTATTTTAAATCATATGACAGTTTGGAAGGAGTAGAATTAGTGAGTTGTAATTATTTTCGAGGTTCAGACTTGTGTGCATCAGATCTTAAGCACGGTTTATTTTGTGGCCTTTTAGAGAAATGTAATTTTAATGCCAAGAATTCTAATAGACACAAAATCTTTATGGAACTTCATTAGGGATTAGATAACTCTGTGGAAAAATGAACTGCCATTTCAGCTCCAAGGAGTTGGGCATAAATATAATTTAAATTTAAAAGTTAAATCCTACAGTTGTAGGACTACATCCCAGCATAATAAATTTAGCTTAATGGAGAGTCTTGGAGTCAGATTGTTCTAAATTGAAAAGCACAATGAGCATCTCTCTTTCCAAGAAAATGTAAGTAAAAGTTTAAAGCAGAAAGAGACACTGAGAATGCAGTAATGATGAAAGATAAAATAGCTTGAGTGAGCCTAAAAGTATCTTCCTCTCTTTTTTAGACGGCTGAAATGAATGAACGATTGCAGAAGATGGGGGAGAGCTCCTTACGAAATTTCACTATGGACACAGAGATGAGCTTATACAACTTTGAAGGTGAAGATTACAGAGAAAAGCAAAAGGTAATTTTTCTTAGTCTTATAAGTTGAGAGGTGCAAGCATAAAGGCCATACTATAAATGTTATGGCTGTGAAGGTTGTTCTAGAGAAGTTAGGGGCTATTGAAAAATTCACTTGACTCTGCAAAAGCATCAATATTCTGAATTTTTTTAAATTAACTTTCAGCTCCACTGATTTTTTTCACGGTAAAATCAGATAATATTGTACAAATTTTATCCTTTCTGCAGCAAAAGTACTGTGTTGCATCCTACTGTACTGCTGCAGTCAGCTTTATTTTACTGTCACATAACAGAGGGGAAAAACCAGGCCTGAGAATGATTTTGTGTGTGGATCTTGGACTTCAGTCTTGTTTTTGCAGTGCAAGTTTTAGTCACAAGCATTAATGTGCACTGTTTGTACGTTGATTTACCTAGTAACAGAAGGATCATCCAAACAAATAGGTAGTGCTCAGTCCCACAACTTTCCCTTTGTGTCTCATTGTTTTTTATGGGATGTATAGGGAAGATATCCTGAAGGTCTCACCTGGAATCAGATATGTGAATTCTTATTTGTTAACTACAAAAATGCCCTTCTAACCTTCTTATCAATTCTTAAGAAATATTTAGAAAAATAAATTGTATATACTTCAGCGTGTGTCTTCATGTTGATAATTTCATTACAAGAAGTGAGTTAAATACAACATAGTCTTGAAATACACTTTAGTAACTTCAAGTGATTCAGCTAAGATAAATCTACTGGTAATAGAGTTTTTGTCTATGTTGTAGCCTCTGTAGATGGAGAAGCAATTTATTCATATCACAAGAAATTAGAGCATTCAGAGCCCAAGTCCCCAGTCTTTCCATTGTGTTTTGGTAGATGGAATCATAACCTTGCTCAGGTGTCTGACATACCTAGAATGCTGTAAAAGGATCTATTCTTGCCACTGCGCTCCCTTGCTTGTGTATTATCTTTTATGTGTTAATCAGCTCTATATGTTTGAGCTCTATTGTAGTACCCAAATCATTTTGCCATGCAAAAAGACATTCCTGTTTTGCAGTGCCACTTTAGTCATTATTCCTGTGACTTTAGGAAAGCATGAAGCTTCTTAAATCCCTTTTTATTTTCTTCTGTGTGTAGCTGAGCATGATGGAATGGATTGAGCCTCCTAAAAGAGAACGCAAAGCTAATTATGCAGTTGATGCTTATTTCAGAGAAGCCCTGCGTGTCAGTGAACCCAAAGTCCCAAAGGTGAGAACCTGGCAAGTATGGAGGGCTTTTTATGTTTATCTTTTGCTGCTCCTCTCCCATGTTGTATCACCCTGTGTATTTCCAAAGGAATAGTTTGCCACTGCTGCTGAATTATCGGAATTTAACTGCACAGAAGTCAAGCTTATATAATGTTGATGTATCTGTGTGTTTTTGAAGGCTCCACGACCTCCAAAACAACCAAATATTCAGGATTTTCAGTTTTTCCCACCACGGTTATTTGAACTTCTGGAAAAAGAAATTCTGTATTATCGTAAGACTATAGGATATAAGGTAATGCTTTTTTTTTCCTCTTCACATCAGCGAAGTGTATTTATATTCCTCATTGCAGATTTATTGCAACTTAAAACCTCTATTCCCCTGTTTCTGTTCCACTGTGGAACAGAAAAAGTAATCTGTAATTCTTTTCTTCACTAAAAATTTCATATCTGTGTAGCTTTGTGTTTTGTGATGGATTCCTAACAATAAAATAGAGTAGAAAAAGGAGAGACTGTTCTGATGCTTCAAATACTCAAACCCAAAAGTGTGATATGTGGTCTAGGTGAGAAATACAAGGTCACCTTCCAGAGCATGACTCTCTCTGTTAAAGCTTTTGTATGTCTTATGCAGAAAGTAACTTAAGATAATACTGACTTTGATATGAAGGTAAGTAAACTGATAATGATTTTCCTTGGATTTTACTGGGATATAAAAGGTTTAAAGGTGTGGAGAAGTCTGAATAAATTACTACTACAAAAAAGAAACCACACAACAGACTCCTCTTTTTACTTCCTATTAGCCCTGAGTTGAATTTCTCCCTCCCCCCGGCTGATGTTACTGGACAAGTAGTAAACACAGATTTAATGTTGATTATCTTTACTTGCACCAGTATTGACTGGGTAAATCACATGGATCCTCTGCTTCTAGACATGTCTGTAACTTGCTTTAAAAAGCCCCAGGTTTCATGGCAGGTTGCAGCAAGAAGAAATCACCTATAAAATGTGTTGGAGAACATCAACTTGTCATACAAAGCAACAGATAGAAAATTGGTGTTGCCCAAAAGTAGAATTAATATTAGCAAAGTTATATTTTTATAATAAAAAACAGAAGGTATCTTAGAATCTAGTTTGAGGCAAAGAGAATTTATATGGATGACAGGATAGAATTAAGCTAAGCATTAAAAGGAGTATAATTAGCTTGGGGAAAGAATTTATTCAATTAATGATCCAATGAAGAAGGATGAGAAAATTGTTAATGTTGACAATATGCATGAAAACAGAGAGGTTTCCAGCCCTGTTAATGAAACCTGTCAGACTGGATAGGTTGAACATGAATACTTGTTATCTTAAAAACCTAGTATACTGTTTACTGGTGGTGACAGTGATAAATATGATTACATTTGTTCTGCCTTGAAATGGAAGTATAACTTTCCTTCTGAGGAGAGTTTATTATTAAAACTGAAAACTGCCATAAACAATATGAGGAGGTATCAAATAGGTAGGAACCAAGCTTTATGTGTCAGCCTTAATTTAAACCACCAAAGTCAAGAAAATTTCTTAGATATTAAAAACAGCTGAACAACTATTAACTTACATACTTCTGCAGCTAAAGGCAGTAGTTCCACAAAATCTTTATTAGGCACTGGTTTCTGACTTACCTGCTGTTGTGTGCAGTGGAATTGCAATATATAGTTTAAAGGTCCCAAATATTAAATTGGTCAGTGTGGAACGAGATAAAATGCTTGACCTTGTTTATATCATGTTATCTGTCTGGTCCTTACTTTGGCAGTGTGTATAACTCCATAGGAAACCTGGCAGAACTTAGGATTTCACTGTAGTTATAAAACATTATAAACCCTTGGATGTGGGAGAGCAGGTCCTTAGCTGATGAAAAGTGCCACTGAAATCAGTGAGCTGTGACAGCTTACACGAGGTGGGGCTCTGCCCTTCACAGTATCCCTAAATTGTTGTTCATAGAGGTGGGGAGTGCAAGGCATAACAAACTTATAAAAGACATTTGACAAAATCTAGTCCTATATTTGGGAGGAAAGGCTTAAGCAATAGGATTTGAATGTAGGCAAAACACATTTGATAACTTGTACAGATCAGTACTTTGAAAATACAGTCTCTGAAATAACATTGCTGCATTACTGCTTTCTGATACCCCTGATTTTAGGTCCCCAGGAATCCTGATCTTCCAAATGCAGCTCAGGTACAAAAGGAAGAACAAAAGAAGATAGATGAGTCTATGCCTCTGAATACTGAGGAAACTGAAGAGAAAGAAAAGCTTCTAACACAGGTAAAAGAAAAAGAATTGAAGTATTTCATCGTATGTTTTTACTAGTATGCAAAGTAAGTACTAATAATGGTAAATACACACAGGAAAGCTATACTGACATTGTTGAAAGAAGAAAGCAGATAACATGTAATGATTTTGCTTGGTTTTGCTTTGAGGGCCCTTTCCTGTCCTTGAACAAATTTACTATTTCCTTGAATGTCCTTGAATGTTTCTGAGGCCAGAACCTGTATAGTAGATGCACTACCAGCAGCACATGCAGAAACCCAATCAGCAGGTTTCTCCTCTGGACATACATCTTGCATGGAGTTTTTAATCCAAAAGGCTTTGAATCAGGACAAGGCTCTGTCAACATATATGGTGTTTATGTAGATGTCTAAGACACATCACCTCTATTAATTCTCTCCTGCTTGAGTTGTTAGGCATGTTCTTTTTATAGTGGGACTGAATTCCTGTTCCTGGCTAGTTCTTGACCTTTTGGATGGTCATCCTGCTGAGTAGGCTTATTAAAAGTTGATTGTGAAGGAGAAAAGTGTGTCTCAAAGTAACAGGATTTTTTTGATTCAGAAAATTTCCTGTAAAGGAAATAGTGTACCTTGAAAGACAATTGCAAGGTCACAATTTGACTCCTAATTTCACCTGTGTATAGCAGAGGAAATATTTAAGCTGGTGCTGATATGCATATCAGTACTGCTGTTAATGATTAAAAGGAGGTACTTGTATTGTGTATATTACACTAGTTCTAAAGATGCTGTCCAATTGTGGAGTGAGTTTATTCAGCTGCAGAACTGACAGAGTTCCTTGTAAATATATTTCTGTGATGAAAGAAACTCGATGCACTACAGATTACTGCTCAGGCATGTGATTGTCTTGTTTGTTCTTGGTGTTTTCTCCTTTCCCTGTCTTTAAATTGTAACATCTCTTTCTTGGATGATGTTTTTGTGCATTGCATCTTGCTTTACTTGTTCAGTTTTGGATTGATTTCTTTGGTACATAACAAATTCTCTGACAGTGCTATAGAGTTTCCATTTGATTGCATCTTTTTTGGACTAGAGAGCGTTTCTTGACATACTTATGCTTTCATCCAACTCTTTGTCTGGTTCCAGGTTTGTAAATGTCTGTAAAGCTCTTGCTTTAGATACTTGCACTGCTCTAAGAACATTGCACTGCTCGCCCTGTACTCCTGGTACACGTTTCTTGTATCTGCTGGAGGGTGATTGTCATTGAGCTTGTTTCTTTGGAGAAATACCACAAAAACTTTAAGAAGAGAGGGTAGAAACCTCTTACTAATGCATGTGGACTCATGCCAAAAAAAATCTTCTTTAGACTGTTAATGATTGAGTAACAAGCCCCTGGACAATGTGAGTTTATGGAAATCCTGAAACACCAATGGCCACTGTAATTACGTGACGTGTCAGAGGCATTGCCAGTCAGAGCAAATGATAGGTACATAAATCAGAATTGTGCAAAATGTTTCCCTTCTTCCTAATAATGCCTTCTTGATCTCTTGCTGCTTGCAGGGTTTTACAAACTGGAATAAAAGAGATTTTAACCAGTTTATTAAAGCTAATGAGAAGTACGGGCGTGACGATATAGACAATATTGCCCGTGAGGTGGAAGGAAAGTCACCCGAGGAGGTCATTGAGTATTCAGGTTTGGGATGTTTTGAAATGTATTTCTTAATTACACAGTATTACCATAATTTTTGCTTTTTTCTACAGGTTCTTTTAAAATGCAGAATTTGTATGTGTGTAAGATTAATTTTTTTTTAAAGTATACAATGTTTTTTTTCAGAAGACTTAATTCTGTTAAAAAGGTTGATTTTTCAGCATATAAAAAACACCTGCAGCTGCCTTCATCCCTCCTTAGTCAAAATTTAAAATTTTACATGGTTAATTTACATTGGCAACATGGACTTGTGGAATTATGAAGTTGCCTTGTAGTGCCAATGTGATTCTTTATGCTGTATCTCTTCTATTTTAGCTAGTACACCATACCTTTGTCTTTTGTATTTACAAAATGCTATTTAATTTGTGCAGATTTCTTCCTCTTTCATTCTTGGATGTAATTTTACTAAATACCATAAAATTTAGCTTTGCAGTATTCTTCCTATAGTTAAAAAGGAAGAGCTCCAGAAGAGTTCCCTTCAAAGTGTTGCATTTATTTTGGATTGGCTAAAAGTTGTCACTGGAGAAACCGCAGTTTCCTAGCTTTTATAACATATAGACTAAGTAGTCTCTGCCCATAGAGATAACTAATGAAAATGAAAATAGTAATGTGTTTCATTGCTACACCAGTGGCTCTAACCTGGTTCACTACTGTTATGGAAAGCAGTCCTTAAAAATGACTACAATCAATTATATTGAACATAAAATTTGTTAGAATTTTTACTAAATCTTTACTTATAGTTAACTTTTAAGGATATTGAATAAAAGGTCTATGAAAGTTTATTTTTTGGCTAGCAAAGTAAACTGGGAGAGCATTAGCGCATCTTTTAAGATTTAGTGGAACCACAAGCTACATCCTTTTTTACCAGAGTGCCTTAACTGAGTAAAGTAGTAAGAGCAGAGGAAAAGATTACATTCAACAATTTTGTTTTGTGTTTTTAGCTGTTTTCTGGGAACGTTGTAATGAACTACAGGACATTGAGAGGATTATGGCCCAAATTGAACGAGGAGAGGCAAGAATTCAACGGAGGATCAGTATCAAGAAAGCCCTCGATGCCAAAGTAATCACTCCAGGTTTTCTTGTTTTCTGCAGCTGATTTCTTTCAAATTCCTTCAGAAAAGGAATAGTAGGGGATGGAGGTTCTGTCTTCCTATATATCCTATGTAGTATACCATCTATCAGTGATCTACACTAATATGTAATAAGCCCTTGATGTTATAGTGTACGTTTATTGTTCCTCATTTTTGTTTTGCATTCAGATTGCAAGGTATAAAGCACCTTTTCATCAGCTGCGCATTCAGTATGGAACAAACAAAGGGAAAAATTACACAGAAGAAGAAGACAGGTTTTTGATCTGTATGCTGCACAAGATGGGCTTCGACAAAGAGAACGTGTACGAGGAGCTGAGGCAGTGCGTGCGCAACGCCCCTCAGTTCCGCTTCGACTGGTTCATCAAATCCAGAACTGCCATGGTGGGTATCACCAACATGGACTAGGCGTGAAATCAAGTATCTTATTCCCTTTTTTTTTTTTTTTTAAGCACCATCACATCAAATTTGGATTTGTGCTGGAACTTTGGTGTCTGGGAAACAAGTGCTGAAAGAATAAGTTTGGTTTTCATTTTAATTTCTGTTTCTTTCTTTAAAAGTAACCTTTTCCCATAGCGCAGCAAACAACACATGACAATTGAAACAGATTGGAAAACCTGCCAAGCTGAAGTCCCATGTTGTTACCCAAAGGGATTAATGCAGAGGTAGACTAAACTTACAAATATCTTTGTTAGTTTTATTGCAGACTTGAGTGTTTTCCCAAACAATGTCTCTTAAAATATGACTTTTTTTTAGAAATGTTGGACAGTATTAAGGACCGAAAACATCTAAATTGTATACATGGAGAAAAGAACAGCTTTTTGAATGTAGCATTCAATTTCTAAAAGTGTGAGAAAGGTTAGTGATTCACATAGGAATTAATCATTGAAGCAGTGGGTTTAAAATGCACTTTGTAGTTGTGAACGTGGATTTTCACATGGAAGTGCTTAAATTTCTTTAGGTATACTTTTCTGAAGATTTTGTTCGTGATTAGAGAGGATAATACAAATTCAACAGCAAGTAGACTAGTACTCTGAATTTAGATTTTTTTTTCTCCCCTTTGTCTGAAAAGCAGAGTCATTAATTTTTAATTAGTCATTCGGTGGGAATTGATAACACTAACAGAAACTTTGGTAGTTGCAAATAATAAGCTGTGTAGGTACCAGCATCAGAATATGGGCCTCTTTCAGTTATAAAAACCTGTTAGCTTTGCCCTGGGATTTTTGTTTAGCTCTCCCCTGATTCAGTTACTTTTTCTTATGAGTAAAATGTGTAAATCAGTGCACCTTATGTAAGAAGCACAAACACGTGTTTTCATGTGAACCTGTTTAAATAGGAAAAATGTGCTTCGAAATTTTTCCATAACACAAGAAATACCTTCATCTTACAGTGAGTGAGATCTGTAACACTTTTTTGTCTCCTTGAATAGAAAAACATATTGGTTGAAGCTGATACAAGAGACTGGAACTCCCTATCCTTTATACAGCTGTTGTAGATTCTCCCCATTGTCTTGTAAACAAATTTTCAATTAAATGCTGTACTGCAGTCATATAACTTAAATGTCATTTTGCATAGAAGCCTGGATTTTTTAGTAGTGTAGTCTAGCATTTGCAGAGCCACTGTGCATTGTTGTTTACTGACTTAATTTTCTGGCCTCAGGATTTGTTTATAAAATGTTCTTTCAGAGTTCTGGGTACTGTACTAAGAATAAATAAAACATAAGATAAAATATTTAAAATGTGTATTTGAACAGGTGCTTCTCCCAGTACTGCTTGTAATGATGCAATACAATTTCTGCTTGATATTTCAGCAATTAAAGTGTTTCTGGATAGTGCAGCAGTTAGTCCTTAATTAAAAAGAATTACAAGCATTACTCACTAAAATGTCTGTTTGAAGAAATACTGGATTTTTAAATTATGTCCATAAAGAGAGAAGCCTCCAATATTTAGTCCATTAAGAAGTTTCTTTTAAGTTGTCTGTGCAGGAATTCATTGGAGTAAATCATAGAGATGGATACTAGAAATAAAAAATGTAGCTTGGCTCTTAATATTAGTTGATATATAGTTGTCAGAGATGGAGTTAAATATGCAATTTAAATCTTCTTGCAGATCCTTGTGTTCAGGATACTTTTTAAAGGGGATAGAAATAATTTGCTCAAGTGTAGAAATAAGTTCCGTGGTGTCTAATGCTGAAATTGAGGCACTGGGAATATAGTGAATCTTCTGGCTTAGGTTTTCTCTTAAAATTCTGTCCATTAATATTAATATTTTTAGTTTTTCTCCTATCACACAGTTGAAAAAGAATGCTATGAAAATACAAAGCTAAAGCAATCTTACAGTGTGCATTTAATTTTCTTAAATGTTTTAAATTGCCATGCTGTCTATGGTTTAGTAGTTTATAACTGCAAATCACTGATATAATCTATGTATTCTAATATCCTGACACTTGTGGGGGGATTAATTTCTATGGGTCCATTTAGCACTAGTTTGGTGATTTTTCTTTGTAAAGAAATGTGGTGGAAGAATCACATGATTATCCAGAATAATGAACCAAATATAAATACAAATCTTTATAGAGGAGTAAATAAGTGTAGAGAAAGTGGAGAAGACTTCTTAGAGTGCTGAAATTCACATGTGATCATTTAAACCGATATGAAACGAGATAGAAAGGGCAGAATAATTTTGAAAAAGGCTTAGCAGGCTCTTTGAGAAAACTTTGTGTCCTAACCACTAGATGTCTCTTGAATTCCATACAAAAACTAATTTATCTTCTGTCTTATTACTCCTGTTTCTTCCCCTAAAGATTTCTCTTTGAAAAACAAATTCTGCTTCATTTATGTATTCCAAAATCAGATGGTTTTTACCCAAGACATAAGGTTTCAAAGAGATCACGAGTGCCTAAGATTGTAGTTTTTTTGCTTTTTAAATTGAGCAAAGTTCTTTTTTTTTTTTTTTGTTCTTTTACTTCTGCCCGTGCAGGAAGAATGCAAACTATCAGGGCAGCAGCGAAGCAGGTATCTGTTCTCTGAAGTCATAAATTATGCATCTCCTTTTTTTTTACCTTTCTGCAAACCCTGCCCAGCATAAGACAAATGACTCCTTTGTAAATACAGGAATATCCAGGCCTGTGGACAAAGCTCTGCTCCCAAGTCAGCATCTCTGCCTTCACTCATGCAGAAGGTGATGGTTCAGTGCTCCCATCTTATTTATTGCAGTGCTGGTCTTTATAGCTATGAAGGGGTGAGCAAAGTACATCTTATCTCTTCCTATCTCAAAGAGAAAAGTATCAGGCCCCACAGAATAAAAACTCATCTCCAAAAGTGCAAGGCATTTTGAAATAAGTGTATTTTTATAGTAATAAATTGGAACAGAGCGGTCCATATTGAAATTTCAGTAGCTCAGTGGAGGATTTATCATGCAGATTCATTCTGATTGTAGGTGTAAAGAAACCTGTGTGCATCTTACTTCAACTGCTTCTGTGATTCTCTGGAGAAAATTGTTCTTGAGTCCATCCTCTGTCCACAGCAGATGTTTTGGTGCAGTGGTCCATCTGGAAATGCTAACCATGAACCTGTGCACTTTAATAAATCTATGTATTTATGCACACATTTTTCCTCAGGAAAGGGGAGGATTTTTCTGAGTTCCTTGAGCAAATGGATCAAGGTTATTTCTTAATCTTTTATGTTTAGTTGCTTCTCTTGAATTGAACACAAACCAGTTTCTCAAACACTGGTAAAAATCAAGAAAAAACTTACTATAATACTCTGTTTGTGAGGCTACGTGCATGACACTGGAATATTTCTAGTAGGGAGTTGTAAAGAAAAATGTCCTGAACACTTTTTTTGTGTGTGTGCGGCAAAAAGAATTCTTGTAGGGGCAGGATTCTGTGTGTCCATTCTGAATTACACAGCCTTCACCCAAGGCCACGGAGCATCCTTTGCAGAGGAATCTGTGGAAACTAGAGAAGTTTAAAGAATGTGGTTAAGCTTGAGGGTTTTAATGTCTCAAAGATGAGTCATTTGCTTGACTGTTTCAGAACACTCAGGCTCAAGAAAGCATTGGGGCTGCATCGTTATCCATCAGGGAACATGATGGCTGAGGCAATATACAGGTTACAGATGCTGAGAAAATAGAGACTAATTTCTGGGCAGAAAGGTCACCCGTTCACTTCATTGCAAATAGACCCATTGTAGGTTAAGATTTATGCTGCTAGGTAATTCTAGGATAGCTTGTGCTTCAAAAATGGCTTCATTGAATTTAATAGAGATAAGACATATTTTTTCCCAGCTTTTTTTTTTTTCCTCTCGGACGAAAGCTTCCTGCTTTGAGTTGGAAAGAAAAGCCCGTGGAATCACTGTTCTTAGTGTACATAGAATATACTGAATAATTGTAACAAAAATTAGTGCTGTTAGTTATTTGGTAAGAGATCTTTTTCCTTTGAGATGTGGTACCAGAAACTGTCAGAGTCAATAGAGTTCTGTAAAGCAAGATGACGATCAGTAATGGCAGTGCAGGTACTTTGAGTTGTTTGGCTCCTGATCGCTTTCAGATGGCCTGCAAGCCTTGATGCTAAAAGCATTTAGGGCCTACCACCCTCCTGGGTGTGCTGCTTGAAAATACAACTGTGAGTCCACAATTTAAGGCTGGATAGATTTTTGCCAATTTGGAGCTCTACAGGGTCTTACCGCAAAAAAAAACCCCACCCCAAACCTTGATCTGTTTGCTGCAGAAAACTATTGCTTAGGGTGGCTTTGATTCCTTTTCTCAAGATAGACTTGAAGACCTCTTTTCTAAAATCTGCCATACTATACTGGCAGGCTGTAATTTGCTTCATCTAACCAAGATGAAAGATCAGATCAGTCTTTTGGGATGTCAGTTGGGAAGATACAATCTTGTAAACTCCTTGTCAGGAATTTGAATATTTCAGTAAATCCTTCTCTCTTTAAAGGTTACACTAAGGGAAAGAGAGATGAACAGTAAGTAAGCTGCATGAATATTGAACGTTTTAGGAAAATGGGATTACTTTGAGATTCAAGAATTTTGAATATATTTACGTAAACAAGAGAATTTGTATAATTTACTGAAAAAAATTAAATGTTTTCTGTTTCTTCAGGAGTTTCAGAGACGCTGCAATACTCTCATATCATTAATAGAAAAAGAAAATATGGAAATTGAGGAAAAGGAAAGAGCTGAAAAGAAGAAAAGAGGAGCAAAAGTTACAGCAGTATGTTTAGCAGCATTTACTTTACTTCCAGTGGGGCAGAATTCAATTGTATTTTGTGAGAAAATGTAAAAGATAATTGTAGGCACTGATTGCTTTAGTTAGAAGCCTTTAGGTGAGAGATTAAACTGAAATACTTGTCTATTCACAGCTCTACTAGATTTTTAGACATGTATTCCCAACATACAATATTTTGTGGCACTTTTTTGAGAAATCTTTTGTTTGAGTAGCAGGGGAAGACTCTTAAGAAAAAGTCACACTGCCTACTTTATACCTACTTTTGTACCTCATATGTTAGCTTTCATTTTTTCTTAGATTGTTACTCCTCCCCTGCATGGTAGTTGCTGGAAGAAGAAATGAAAGTGCTTCTTTTATTTTGAGGGGTTGTCATCTTTAGAACAAAATTGTGTGTAAGTCGAGGTCCTGATCTTTTCATCCAATTCATGGTATGTGTGCTACCTGCACCACTGAGACCATGTAATGATTCAAGGATTTAAAAAGGGTAGCAGAATTAAGTGTCTCCGTCAGGGATTTATGTTTGCCTTGTTATTATATCCTGCAGAGCTGAACTGAACTCAGAACACATGAGGGGTCACATATCTCCCTTTTGAATAGTCAAGTCACAAACTTAAAAATATAATTTTTTTTTTAATAATGCCACCATTTTGTTAAATTTATAATTATTGTTTTCTCTTTAGTCACAGAAAAGAAAAGCAGATTTGGCTGCTGAGAACTCTGGAAAAAAGGATGCCAAGAAAGCGAAGTCGTGAACCTGAAAACTGAATGCTAAATATTAAACTGCCACTTTCTTCACTCCATCTACATGTATTAATTGCCAACTTCTTTGTATTCATGGTACTCTCCCCCAAGTCCCATGGTTTAATTTTGCAAATTTTGTATACTTTTCAATGCCTTCTTTACCTAAAATGTGTAGCTTTATATCTTATGCATTCCAGTATTTTTGTGTACTGTATTTTGTGAGTTTCATGTCTTTGGCAAAATTCACTCAGTCCTTGGTTTTTTGAAGCTTGTGCTGAGGTTTTAGCTTTTATATGTTTTATATGCTGCTGCTTTGAAAGAAAACCTAGATTCTATAGCTGTATTATTGTTGTTTCATATTTTAAATTTATATGGCTGTTGGAAAATAAACTGACTTAATTATTTGAAGAGAAATATACTTCATATTTGTTTTCCCTACCCTCTCTCCCTTTTTTGCAAAGCTACATTTAGAGAGAATGTTAAGGTTTGTATAATTGTGCCTTCATCATCAATCAGATTTTTTTCACAGGAGTTCTTAGACAGGATTAGGAGCATCACAGAACAAAATCTAATTAGACTGACATCCTTGTTTACTGTCAGCATTAAATGGACATTTTTCTCTGAAATGTTCAGAAGAAAAGCCAGCAAATACTTGTACACCTTTTTTTTTTTTTCCCCTTATCACTGATTCTGCTGGGCTTCATACATTTTTAAACACAGGGTGAGGTGTTTCTCAGAATGACCTCCAGATGGAAACTTTTCTATGCCAAATAAAAGGAAGTAGTCAACTACCAGCTTCTGGTTGCTTAAGTAGCAAACAAAATAATTCATTTTTGGGCTGGTAGGCTGCTCAGCTATGCTGCCTTGTTGCTCTGATTATCTCTGCTGAAGTTCTGCTTTTACCTTTGATTCAACATGTCAGTCAGAAGCAATGGGGATATGTTGTGGAGTGCTCCTTTTTAGTATTTCTATTTTAAGGAAGGGATGAGAGTGTTGGATGTATGATTTTTTGACTTTGCGAGAGTGGCCTTTACTAAGCAGGTTCATAGTTTTCTGCTCACCTTGGAGTCTCTGCCTTTCCCAGATCAGTAGAACAGTGACTGTGACATCCAATGTTTTACTTTAATGTTCTGTGTCTGATCTGGTGTTTAGGATGGACCTTGCTGCAGTGAGACATGCCCTCATAATGTCAAGTCTAGATTAATGCAGTGTGCTTTCCATGGTACTTCCCTTGTACATTTCTTCTGGTGCAGTTTTGCTTCCTTCGGTGGTTTGAGGTGTTTTGAGAGGAAGAAACCTCTTTAAACTCTTTGTATTTCGTGCTTTGCCTTGGGTATCACCTTCTGTATTTGTAAAATTCAGGACTTTATAAAATAAAGTTCTTGAGTTCTGCCCATGTTCTTTAATGTCATTTAAAATATATTGGTATGTCTTCGAAGTTTTTTGGGATTAGTATCTTAGTATCTCTAAGTTTGATGAGTAATTTCCAGCTTTTCTTGCTAGTCTCTGTTTAAGGTTTGGGGTAAAATGGGTGAGCATTTGAAAAGATTAATAACTTTATGAATTTGAATATATTTTGGAATGGAGCTTTTGTTTGGGGACCAACTTATTAATAAGCTTTTATTTGTATGCCTTGTAGTGAAAAAAAGGGTATTCATTTGTCGAGATTGATCTGGTGAGTGGAGAGGTAGATCTGATAATGATGGGGCACAACTTCCAGGCAGAAGGTCAGTCATGGGTGTCAGTGAGTGCTTTCAGTGAGTGTGCAACCCAGGTGCTCAGGAAGGAAGCTTGTCTGTCCAGCTGATGCTTTTGGAGTAGTTGACATCCTGCTTTATCCTTGGGAGAAGGACATCCCATGTAATTTTGGATGGGGAGAAGGCTGTGCAGCTACATGCATATATAATCACAAATCCTTGGAGCATTGCTATTAATAGAGAGAGGAAGATGCCTTATTTACATTTGCTTTTCAGCTCATGTGCCAGTCACTAAGTTTATGGCCTGAAATTATAAAAACAAGTTAAAAGAGGAAGAAAATAAAGGCTGAAAGAGCCAATTGAAATTTTTATGGAATTACATGGCTAGGTCTAGAGCTTATTCCATTGATCCTAGTTAGCTTTGGATGAATATTTTAATGTTTTAAGTCTTGAAATAAGTGTATTCTCATTTTGTTTATTGTAGATTAGCTTTGTTTGACTTGCATGTTTTTGTGTATCCAGTTTCTCTGTGTTGCAAAGTGTACGGAAAGACTTTAAATGGTAGTATCTCAACTTGTTCTTTTATGCAGATTTCTTGGTTTGAGTTACCACTTGAGTTCATGTTCACTCTCCTCCTCCTCAGTGACACGATATACAAATTATATAACAAAAAATCACGCAATTGTTCATCCAGATATTATCCCCTTGACCAGACAGCTTCTCTGAAGAATGATAAATACTCCCAGGAGCCACCTGTTATCTTTTACAGCCTGTAGTCCCTGGTTAAGCTGAATGTCCTGTTGAACAACAGTCCTTGAGAGCACTTGTACACTATAAACCAGTTCCTCAATGTAGTGAGTCTTCCCATCCATCATGTCCTACAGTGATAACTAAAGAAAATTGCTAGCAGCTGCTGGTCAGGATTAAAGTCAAATGGATCTTTCTTTTCCCTTTTTTGTTCCTCTGGTTGCAGATACACAGACAGTCTGTGCCTAGCAGTATCTTAAACGATAATGCTGCTGCTGTGACTCAAAATCAGATGGTGCAAATGAAAGAATCTTCCTACTTTTCGCCACTGTTTTCTTAGGTGAGGAGTGCTGTTTGTAAGGAATTGGTAAGCACTGAATGTAATGTGATGCAAAACTTCTGAAAAGTCTGGGCCTTTAGGCGATTTGAGAGTTGCCAAAAATATGACAAGATAGAAAATTCTGAAAATAATTTATGAGTTCCTGTTCAGCAGACAATTAAAATTTGATTGTGTTAGCATTAGGCTTGAAGAAAGAAAAAGTCATCTAGCACCTTTCACACATCAGACAGTGCACATAACATCTTGAGAGAGGTCAGAACAATTGTGGTGGGTTTTCTTTCTCACATATTCATTACTTTCAAATTATCAGTCCTTTTATTTTTGTCTTACGTTAGTTATGACACCAAAAAAGTCACGCTGCTGACCACCTTCATTGTATTTAATTTCAGTTTCTTGTGATGACATAGAGAAGGAATGAATTTTCTTCTTGCTGGTAATATCAGACCATCTTTAGATACTGTTTGCACAAGTAGCTTTACTATGCTAAAATATTAAGTAAGAATTTTTTTCTTGTAGATTAGCACTGCTTGTTTGATTTAGTGCTAGTGCTGGTTATGGTTTAGAAAATAATGCAGCTTTCACTCTTTGAGATCATAAGCAAGGGGTACAGTATGCAAAAATTGATCAGAATCTTTCCAAATGCCTGATAGAAATAACTTTGTTGTGCAGTGCCTGCTGGGCACTGCTGTGTTACAGGCGCTCTCTGTGCATGCCTCTTGCCCACACTCAGTGGAGGGATTAAGTACTTTCAGTGATCATAAATAAATGCCAAAGCGTTACAGGTTGAAAAAAACATGGAATTTTACAGTTAGAACCGGTTAATGTGAATGTAAAATGACAGGGTTGGTGCAGACATTGGCACTTGTGCTGCCGGAGGGGATTGATTGCTGACTGTACTTCTGGTCTGATTAAGAGAGCGTGGCAGCTGTTACATTTTCTTTAAGTTTATCTAGTCCGTGTTCTTAGCTTCAAGCATGTATGTAAATGCTTTAGTGGATCACAGTTCTAATGTTTGTTATGTTCTTTTTCTGAAAGAGTTAAAGTTGAACTTAGTTTGCATATTTTGAAATGTAATGTACTCTTTTAATTGCATTTGCATGATATCCATTCTTTCATGAGAGCCTTAATAGAAGTAATATTTGCTGCCTCAAAGGTATGTCTGCATTGTGTTGTTCAAAGGTAACTTTTAACCTTTTTCAAGTTGAGATTTGTTTCTTAAGTTGTACATATATGAAAATAAAAATTATTATGAACCTGATGGCTTCTGGTAATTATACTTCTGGTACACATGGGCCCACTCACTTGGATACTGTTCAAGATAGTTTGATTTGGTTTTTGTTGCTATTGTGTCTCCCATAACCTTCAGGCTATGGTGGCTGATGTAAGGGCTGTATGGTTGTTCCATGTCTGCTTTCAAACTATAATTTCCTGTAATCTAAAACAATATCCTAGTAGTGCCTATATTTTTGTGACAGCCTTGCCTGTGTTGTCTTGTAGTATTGTACAATGTATGTTGATCCTGTATTAAAGTATATTGGTTATTTCATACCTCTGGTGTGTTACTAAAATGAAATACTTTGGAGCTGAAGTCTAAGTGACATAGAATGGTAGGAACCATGAATTACGTTGTTGCAGCTGTAGACATGCTAGATATTCTGCTTGCAGAGGTGCATGCCCTAAATGAATCCTCAGTTTTCCACTTTTTTTTTCTCAGGATGATCCCATAAAAAAAAGAGAAACAGTAAGGAGCTCTGGAAGACCAGTTTATCCTGGCATTGGCTAGTAGCAGTTCTGTCAGCTTCACAGTGACTTTTGATGGACCTCACTCTTTTTCAGGTGAAGCACCTAGACCAGGATGAAGGAGCTGGGAATAGAGATGTTATCTCTATCTTATCTACCTTATCTTGTCCTCATTAGCAGCCACAACAATTGTCAGGTTCACCACAAGAGCTGTAGTTCTTCCAAATAGCGTTGCTTACTGCCAGGCTGAGCTGGATCCCCAAGCTCATTTCTGCTTCCTACCTGTTCTCAGGGGTGGGCTGCCAGCACTAAAGTCTGCTGTTTTCAAGATTTTCTTGGAAGCAGTACCTGCCAGCTCTCCTGCAGATGGTCTCCTCAAACAACAGAAGGTAACAGTGGTCCTGGCTGTGGAGTTCAGTATTGTCACATCATCATCATTCTCAATGCACTCAGTGTTTTGGGGAAGGTTGGGCTGTAGACACCTTTTGCAGGGAAGTTCTGGACCCTGATGCCAGGCTGTGCTGCCACGTGCTGAGCAGGGCTTACGAGGCTGGAAAACGGAGGAGAGATAACAAGTTGCTAGATATTCCTGTAACCTGCTTTAAATACTGACTGGTATTTGGATGGAAGTGTGGTAGAGTCCCTGTGAGGAGCAGGAAGGTGCACAGGTATGTGATGTGCTCTTGGTTGGGATCAAGCCTTTGCTTCTAGGCCTTATTTCAAATCCCACTGGGTCAGTTGACATCATGGGTATTTTCATTCAGAGGCTCCTTGGAAAGCTGTTCAAATTAACAGGTGGGGTGTCTTGGCACAGTTCCCAGTGCCTGTGCAAGCCCTGCTCTCACGGCAGGCTCCTCTTCTGACATTTGAAATGTGGAGGGAAAAGGTTG